CCGGCGCCGACGCCGCCGCCGACGCCGCGGCCGACGTCGTCGCCGACGGAGCCGCGGCCGACGCGCGAGCCGACGCCGCGGCCGTCCAAGAGGCCGACGACGAGTCTGCCGACGCGATCACCGACGTCACCGCAGCCCTCGTCGCCGCCGACGACGGCGCGGCCGTCGCCGCGACCGTCCGCGGCGCCGTCGTACCTGCCGACGGCGCCGCCGTCCGCCGAGCCGACGACGGCGCGGCCCGCGCCCCGTCCGACGGCCCGGCCATCCTACGCGCCGTCGGCAAACCCAACCGCCGAGCCCAGCAAGCGTCCCACGCCGTCGCCGTCGCCGGAACCGACGCCCGCGCCGACGCCCGCGCCCGGCGATCCGTCCGCCGCGCCCGTCTTCGCGCCAACGCCGCGGCCCACGGCGAGTCCGACCACGCCGACCCCGACGACGGCGTCGCCCACGGCCAGGCCCGCGCCCGCGCCGACGGCGAGCCCCGTCGCGGCCACCGCGGCCCCGTCGCCGAGGCCCGCGCCGAGCCCGACGGCCGCGCCGACGGCGAGCCCCGTCGCAGCCACCGCGCCGCCGTCGCCGAGGCCCGCGCCGAGCCCGACGGCCGCGCCGACGGCCGGCTCGTGCGCCGACGACGAGGCGTGGCACAAGAAGCACGCGCCGGCGAAGAACTGCGCCTGGGTCGCCAACTTCCCCGAGGACCGCTGCGCGGCCAAGGGCGACGAGGCCCAGGCCTGGCAGGCCTGCCCGGAGACGTGCGGGACGTGCCCCTACGAGTGCGCCGGCGACTCGGCGTCCTGGCACAAGAACGGCCACGGCGAGAAGGACTGCGACTGGGTCTCCGGCTTCTACTATAACCGAGCGTCGGTCGTCGGCGAGGACGGGACGCTGGCCTTCGAATCCTGCGCGTCGGCGACGCGGCGCTGCTTCTACGAGGGCTATCGCGACTCGAACACGTGGGCGAAGAAGGACCAGCCGTGGAAGGACTGCGCCTGGGCCGCGGCGGCGACGAGCCGCTGCGTCGCCCTCGGCGAGGACGGCACCTTCGGCTACGAGAGCTGCCAGCACGCGTGCCTCGTCGGCGCGTACGCGGACGACGACGCGGCCTGGGCGAAGAAGAACGGCCCGTCCAAGGACTGCGCCTGGGTCGCGCGCGACCGGCTGCGCTGCGCGGTCAAGGGCGAGGACGACCGATGGGCCTTCCAGGCCTGCCCGGCGGCGTGCGGGTCGTAAGCGGTTAGTGGACATGCGGGGGCGGGGGAGGGGGTTCGGGGATCGACGGCGCGGCGCGCGGCGGCGCGCTCGCGTGGGCTCTTGCGTTCTTGCCCGGGGAGGCGGTCGCGCGCGTCCCTAGGAGATGCCCGCGAGCTCCTCGAGCATCCAGACGAGGAGGATCGTCAGCGGGTAGAAGGAGAGGACGAGGCACGCGGTCGTGACCGTGTGGACTTTGATCGTCGTCACGACCGCGAAGATGGCCAGCTCCGCGCAGAGGATGGAGATGACCTCGGCCGTGTAGTCCCAGTAGAGGCCCTGGGCGTAGATGAGGATGAGGAAGATGAAGAGGCAGTACGTGTTGTTCATGACCGCCGCGCCCAGGAGCTGCTCGTAGGCGACGACCATGGACTTCTGCGTCTTCTTCAGCGCGAAGGTGTAGGAGGCCAGCAGCTCCGAGCCGTTCGTGATCAACGGCGCCACGACGAAGCCCACGTAGAAGGCGTTGATGCCCGTGCGGTCGCCGAACTCCGTGAGCACGTCCGTCACGGGGTCCGAGAACACCAAGACGACGAGCGTGCCGAGGCCGCAGAGCTTCAGCGCCGCGTTCTGGATGCACCGCTGCTGCTCCTCGACGGACTTGAACTTGTCCTCGGCGAACTCGTCGGGGATCTCCTCCGCCTCGTCGTCCTCCTCGAGGTCCTCCTCGTCCTTGCGCTCCTCGAGCGACGCCGCGAGCTCCGCGCGCTTCGACTTGACGGCGGCGGCCTCGGCGCGGATGGAGTAGGACGCGGGCTTCGATAGGACGTACTCGCGCATGCCGACGCAGAACTCGTCGAAGGAGATGGACCCGGAGCCGTCGCGGTCGTACTTCTTGAAGAGCACGTCGAGCTCGTCGGAGCTCTTGGGCTCGTTCAGATCCTCGAAGACGCGCGACAGCTCGGACAGCTCCAGCGTCCCGTTGTTGTCCGTGTCGTACTTGGAGAAGAAGGGCCGGAGCACGTTCTCGAGCATCTCGTTCTTGCCGTTCGGCGCGAGCGGCGCGGCCTCGGCCGCGCCCGCGGCGCGCTCCGCGTCCTCCATGTCGAGGATGGGCCGCACGGCGGCGACGAGACCGACGCCGCCCCGCACCGTGTTCACCGTCGCCCGCCGTTGCTTCTCCTCGAGCGAGGGGGACGAGCTCTCGGCGCCGTAGGCCGCGTCGTACTGGTACTTGAGGTACGCGCCGAAGCCGAAGAGCGTCATCAGCAGCCCGACGAGCACCGCCGGCGACTCCTGGAGGGACAGCTCCGTCGCCTCGTCGTCGTCGATGGTCTGCTGGTTCAGGATGCCGCCGTGGTCGTTCTCCGCGACGAGCGCGCCGATCTCGACGACGACGTAGGGCAGCGCCGTCGCGAGCATCCAGTAGCCCATGTAGAGCACGACGGGGAACCCCGCGCCGACGCTCACGCCCGAGTTCCAGAGGTTGCCCTCGCTCAGGCGCGGCGTGCCCTTGCTCACGGCGTACTTGGGCTGCCCGTCCGCGTCGAGGTTCACGCGGCCGCCGTAGATGGCCAGCGCCCAGGGGATGGTGATGAGCATGACCGTGGACCCGGCCAGGGCGCCGACGCCGACGTCGAGGCTCGTCTGCGCGTCGCTCCCCACGCCCGAGAACAGCACGATCGCGCCGTCGGGCACCGCGCCGAGCACGGGCAAAATGCAGGACCCCACGAGCTTGCTGTAGGGCGTCAGCATGAGCAGCTCCGCGCCGTCGGAGATCATGTTGCAGCCGATGTAGAGCAGGTAGGCGTAGGCGATGAAGAGCTCCATGAGCTGGCAGTTCCCGTAGAACGACGTCGACAGGTCGCTCGGGTCGATGAAGAAGGAGCCCATGGTCGCGGGTCTCGGGGGACGCGGCGAGGTCCGCGGCCCCGGCGCCCTCGCCTCGGTCCCGGGCGCCGAGGTCGCCGACCGAGGATGCGGGGAGCGGCTGGTGTGGGCGTCGCAGCCCGCGCTCCTGCGGATCCCGTCGACACTCAAATGCCTCGTGGTTGATCTTCACCACACACAACGAATCTTTACTGTGCGCCCCGGGGGCCAGTGAAGGCCCCGCACGCTGCCAGCAGCCCGTCCCCCCCTCGGACCGGCGCCATGGCGCGCGACAACTCGCGCGAGGTCGCGGAGCTCGAGGGCGAGCTCAAGGAGCGGCAGGAGAACTTCATCCGGCGCGAGCGCGTCTACCGCATGCGCCTCGAGGAGCTCACGGGCGAGCTCGACGGGCTGCGCGCGTGGCCGCGTTCCCCCCGCCCGGCGCGCGCCGCGCGCCGCGACGCGCCGTCCTCGCAGGCAAGGAGAAGACGGAGTGGATGAAGGAGGACCCGAACATCTGCAAGCTCCGCGACGTCCACAGCGAGATCGTCAAGCACGTCGGCCTCGTGCAGGACCGGACGATGCGGCTCGTCCGCGAGCAGGAGCGCGACATGCTCACGGCGTTCCGCGCGCGGCTGCTGGACGTGCAGAACGAGGCTCGAGAAGGAAAAGGAAAAAAAGGACGACGGCGCGGCCGCGTGGATCGAGCGGAGCCGCCAGTTGGAGGTCGAGGT